AACCAACTCCCCTTGAAGCTGATTCTGAGGCAGGTGCTGGCCAGTTACTGCATGGCGTTCTGTTTTTCCTTCTTTTGCTTTTTAAACTTGATTGTAAATAAAAAAGGTCATCGCAATGTGAAATAGAGCACCAGACTTTTGGTATAAAAGCACCTTTTTAGCCGATCTAAAAAAGGGAAGAAAAGAAAAGGCAGCTTTTCAAATGAGAAGAATAAATGAAGAAAGGGAAAAAGTTCTTCTTTCACAGCAGTTGAAACAGATATGAGGTTTATGCAGGAATAAGTAACTGTAATTTAATACTTTTTAACGCTCTTAGAAATAATTTTAATGCCATAGATATATATCTATATATCTATATGTATCCATAAATATAGAGATATATCGAGATATATGTATATAAACATATATATGACACACACACACACACACGTAACGGCAAAATCTAGTTCTGCGCAAATATGTTGCGATATATTATATCTGACGAAATTGTTTTTATAAAAGTTTTTTTTTTTTTTAGATACAGCATTTTAAAAGCAATAATAATCGCATTTGATGCATTTTAACGCCACTTAAGGCCTTAATTTAAAATGTAATAATTCAATGACTTTTAATGATTTTTAATGACCCTGACGGAAGTGAACATAAACTGGGTTATCATCATAAGAGCGGACATCAGGTATGAAGAAATCCATTATCTACTTTAGGGGGAACCAATTAAAAATCAGCGGGTCAGAATAAAGAAAATCATCAACCAGTAAAGGTCTGGAGACATTTTTAATTATAATCTGTTGAAATAAAATGAGGTGTTTATGGATCCATGTTATACATTGAATTTTTCAATAAAAAGTTATAAAAATAGAATGTTTTTCCATTTTAAAATCTAAAGTGTTTTTTGAAGTAGAGAACAACAATCTTTCAGTTTGGTTTATAGATAATTTCCTGATTCCCATATTTTCTCAAACCCCTGAACTGATGGTTTGTTATTTTCTTTCTTTTTTCTTTCTTAATGTTGGCAGTGGGCTTTAGGCTGCCCTGCAAGGCTTTAAACCTGGGTTTAACC